AATTTCTTTTAACCCAACCATACTGTTATAGTTTAGCCATAAAATATCTATTACCGCGAACCAAACAAAGCCACTAATGCATATCACAAAGGTTGGGTATCCACCAAGCCTTGTTAGGTGATGGGTAAAGTTAGTAGACCATTGAAGGTAGAATAATAAAAAAGAAAAAATAATGCTATGCTACCTTTATTTTCGAGAACAAATCAAAAGGGAAAAAAAGATTTATAATTTTTTTTAATTTTAAGTTGCATAATAAAAAATAGATATTTTTTTATTTTATAACTTATCTCATTATATAGGATTAAAACTCAAAATCTTTCACTTATAAAAAAATTATTATTAAACTCTTTTAAGTTAGGTAGTTAAAAATCTAATACTCCATATAAGTATAACATATGAAACGACGTTGTCACATTTGAAAGATTACCTCTTAGTACATTTTTACCTGTACCTTGTAGGGACATGAAATCTTAAATGTGATAGGTGGGCCGACCGGCCCGACCCCATTATTGATGTTCACTTTGTACCTTCTACAAATTGTTTGGGTAATTTTTTACTAATCTGTTTTTTGTATTGAGGAGGGGAAAACAAAAAAAAAAAAAAAAAAGGAAAGAATTTTTACCCAACACAATTAAAATGTTAAATTGAAATTTTAATTTAATCAAAAAAAAAATTCTTTATCCTTCTTTCATCTCTTCCGTTCCTTCCAAATGAAACAAATTCTAAATATTTCTCTCTTTTTTTATATATATTTTAAAGACATATCTTGACAATTTCTTAAAAACTTTTTGTTTTATAAAAAAAAGTTGGAACAATACTATGATTCAAACTCAATTATCAAGATTTGCCCTTTTTCTCTGTTGGGGTTTCGGCTGATGTCTAGGCCCCGTTTCATGGATTATTATCCGCTTTGAGTAATTAAAATATAAAGTTGATAATATCTGTTATAAAAAACCATCAACCTTGACCAAGTCATGGTACTACAAAATTCAGGAAGCCATTCTGAAACTAGGATCCGACAATGGAGTACAAGAAAATCAAACCAAAATTTGTTCTTTTCTACAGACTGGACTAGACCTTACCCATGTCGAAATTACAAAATGCATGGCCTAGAGAGAGAGAGCCCCACGTCTAATGTCCACTTTTACACCTTCATCCTTCTTGATTACAAAGTCATTGTCATGTCCAAGTTCAAATCCCTCGTGTTAAATTGAGTTGCTATCATGTTGACACTTGTGTTTCCCACCGTACATCTCAGACTTGCGTTTGGATGCCAGGAAAAATATCGACTTTAAGGAATTGAAAGAAAGTGTCTTAACACGGAAATTAATTAGCTGGAAAAATTTTTAAATTTGTGACTCTGAAGTCTGAACTGAAGTGTGAAGACGTGGACTCTGCCACTTTCCTCTGCTACTTGGCCCAATCGTTGTCTTTCTAGTCTTCATGACAGGAAGATTTTGGTCCACGTGGAGAAATTAATTAGAACACAAACTTGAAAACGGCACTATTTAGGATTAACTTTCGGATAATATTATAATTATAATATTATATAATATTATAAATTTATAATTATTATGTATGTTTTTAAAAATTAACATATATAATATTATATATTTTTTAAATAAAAATCAATTATATAATAATTTATTAGGTTATAAATTTATAATATTATAATTATATTATTTTTGTTAATTTAAACCATTTAATTGCTTAGGTTGTTGCACTTGGCCTTCAAACCAGTAATATCAAATCACGTATAAATACATTCCTTCACTTCCAAAACAACAGTTTAAATCCGATTCTTGCGAATTTGCTAAAAAAAAAAAATTGCTTACGTTGTTGATTTGGATTCTGTTTCTTTAAAAATATCTGGCGCAGCTTTCTAAAGTTCAGCTCTCCGTATATTTTTCAAACGTAATACCAGTAATTGTTTTAGATCTCAGTTCCTAACCCCATCCCTTCCGCGTTAAAACTTCTTCTTTATTCTTGCTTCTTCTTTTTTTTCTTAAAAAATAATATAGATAAAATAAATAGTCCCCAAGTTTTTAATTAAAAAAAAATTAAAAATAATTATTACTATAATAAAGCAAGAGAGTATATGTGGATATATTTGGCTTGAGAAAAGGGAAAAAAAAAAAATTTTGGAGGAGAGACCGATGGTCGCGGTAGGAATTGTTGTTAGGGGGCAGAGTTTTTGTAAGAAAGTTTATGGTAAGAAGAAGGGTTAAAGTATATATTAAGCCTTTTATTTTATTAAACTTAAAGTTTTTAATCTTTCGTTTTTCAAAAATTAAAAATTCCTCAAAATTAAAAAAAGTAATAATTTAATTCTAAAAATTTTAGAATTAAAAAAATTAGTAAACTAAAAAAAATTAATGAATGACTTTCTCATATACACTAAAAGAATATTAGATATATATAATCAAATTGAGCAATTTGAAGAAAAAGTTCTAATCATGATTAAAGAAAATTTATTGGCTAAATTAAGACAAAAAATCTAACAGATTAGAGGAATATAGTCAAAAAAAAATGTTTAATCTCAATTATATTTATTTCTTCAAATAATTACTCAACTTGATTATACATATCTAATATTGTTCTCGTGTATATGACAAAATCATTCACTAATTATTTTTAATTTACTAATTTTTTTAATTTTTAATTTTTAATTTTTTTAACTAAATTATTATATTTTTAATTTTTAAAGACTGATCATATAATTGTATTCTCATCTTAACAAAGAGTTTAATGGATTTCATTAGTGTAGAAATTAAAATCTTCAAACTTTTAAGTTTAGAGACTAAAAAATTCATAATATAAGGTGAAAAATTAAAAATTTTAAATTTAATAAAATAAGGAGTTGAATGCATTTTTTAGCCAAGAAGATATCACAAAATTAAATATCATTAAACCTAAAAACAAACAATTGATGAGTCTGAACTTCACCAATTGAGCTAATTCAAGAGAATTAGGAGCGAATTTTTAAGTTACTAACTAATACGTAGCATTTCACTTACAGCACAAATTAATATATAATATTTGATATGTATGAAAGATTTCTAGATTCAAATATAAATTAAGTAAACTTAAACAGAGATTAAATTAACGTTAAAAATACTATTTTAAACTAATATCAAAGAAATAATTATTGAAAATAGATAAGCTAATAATGTAAATATCATAATGTAATTAATCTTCATTTTTTCCTCTTCTTTTATAGCATCTATATTTGCTAATCCTCCTAATCGTCATCACCTAAAGTACGCAATGGATCAATAAACTAGAAAATGACAAAAAAAGAAATGAAATATAAATTCTAAGCATAAAAAAAGTTAATGGACCAAATTTACTTTAATTACAAACTTAAAAACCAACAAAACTAATTTCTTTCTGCAAAGCCTCGCCTCGGTCATAGTGTGACTCCACCACTTGCAAGTATAGGTCCGAGGAGGTCATATACCTTGAACACCCTAACCCTAAGTTAGGTTGCTCAGATCAGCTATTGCCTCATTTTAGTTATAGCTGAGATGAAGCAGCTTGATGACCGAGGTCAAAGTCTTTTTTTTTTTTTTTAATTGCATAATAAGTACGGAAAGATCGTATATAGTTGATCATTTATTTTGAGATATTTGCTCTTTTAGTCATATTGTATCTCAATTATTTTATTAAAAAAAGATCACATATATACCTACTCAAAGCCTATAAATACTCCATGAATATCCCATGCTACAAGTATTAAAAACCGATCTAAAGCTTTTCTTTTACTATTTTTAAAGTAAATTAAGGTATCGTTGATTTAACTATTAGAGTATCTACCTTGATATAGGGGTATTGAATTCTTAAAGCCCAAATTATTTTTAAAGCCCAACATAACTATTTCTCCATAAATTCTTAATTTCCGTGTTAGGATTAGGGGTGGGTATGATTTGGTTTTGGTTGTAGAAACTAAATTATTGATTAACTAAATTTTT